AATTTAACTAAAAAACTTACCACAGTATTTCAATAATGAAGCTAAAAAAAAAAGCTAAAAAAAAAAGCTAAAAAAAAAAAAAAAAAAAAAGAAGGGGAAAAAATAAATAAAAGATACTTCAAATATCAATATTTTCTAAGGAAAAAATGTTTCACCAGTTATGATACTAAGCTTTTCCAAAATTATTATTACACAGATTAACTTTTTGAGTACAGAGCTTGATACATTGCACCCAGTATGTAACCACCAAAGTAACCATGACATTAGCCATACTATAACTTTTGATAATGTATGCATATCTTCATGAAATTTTGTAAATTATCAGTAAACATTACAAGGCTTTCATACACAAAATATCAGGTTTTAATTTAGTAGTAAGATTTTTTTTATTAAAGATTTGCTCATGAATTTTTTATTTTGGAATGTTTAATATTCAACATGCAAAGTAATTTTGATTTAAAGACTAAAAATACTTTTCTTCATCTGACAATTGTCAAAAAAAATTTCAGTTGTGTAATCTCTATAACCTCCTAAATAATTATTAAACGTTTTTTTTAGAAAAAATTTATATCTTATCTATTATTTTCTTTACAATTACCCTTTTTTCATTCTAGAATGACTGCAAATTTAAATATAAAACCACAAATATTTATTCTAAATAAATGAAATCTTATAATAGTATACATCTATTTATGTTTATTAAATTTTTGTTGTATTGACCTTTGATCCTTGTCTGACTAATAATCTTGCCACATAAGTTGTAAATCATGTGGTGCACATGCAGCTCATGTTATCATATTGAATACCATAAAATTGGCCTTTACTCTTTTTAGTCTTAGAACTAGTGTGCCAGTTTTTTGTAAAATACAATCACATTTCAGTTATCATACATTATGCATACATATATATTTATTACTATTTACAAATAAGTTTTTAAATTTCAGTTATTTTTCTTAAAACAGAAAATAAAAAATATATAGAAAACAATGATCTCTACTTCTTACGATGCTACAAAGTTTTTTATACTCATGCTTAGCGTGGTTGAATTTTGAACGTAGAAGATGTAAAAAACGTAATTTTTATAGGTTTTACATATGCATTTTGAAATAACACAAAATTATAAATTACTATACCAATACCACAAAATTCCACGGTAATTTATTAGGCTTCCTAACTAAGCTGTATTTGGGTCTAAAAAAATCCCATTTCCTATCTGTATATCATCTTGATTACCACTCTTCAAACCATGCAATGGTAATAACAGCTTTACCCAAGTAAGAAGTTTAGGAAGACTAACAAAACTGCATAGTTCAAGATAAGTGCTTTCAATTGGTTGTAAACATGTAATTGAGAGAAGTTGGCATAAGTAAACAAATATTTTCAAAAGAGGAAGAGGTTGGTTCACTAAAGATAATAATACCTCAGCAAATAGAAGAGGTAGGGGGTTCTTATTATATGTTCTAGCTTATCAGTATTGGTAATTTGAGTTTATAATTCAGTTAAAACTGTAGACTTCATATTTTAAGACACCCACAATACAATCTGATCCAATGGAGAAGATGATGTGACACACAAAACATTGATACTTAGTTTTCGTATTTAATTTTAAACTCAAAAATTAAATAATTTATAATACTAAAATTTGAATTACAAATTACAATTTGATTCCAAATTCATGGATATACATTCATAAAATAGTAGTTTAATAAAAATTTGTAATGCAAGTCTACAAAATGTGATGACATGCACTCTGACCCCAACTGATATGGAAATGGTTAAAATATGTATATTGCATGACAAGTTACACACCCAACAAGCTCTGTGTTTCCGATGTTCAACCTGGTTCGTTGCAACACCAGATGGGGTAACTGTAGGAACCCATGCCAAATGATGTGTCAGGACAGCTGTCAACAATGTGCTGACAAAGCTGAAACAAAATTAAAAAACAAAACAATTAAAACATTAAATTTACAACTTGAACAGCATCACACAGAAGTTTTTTGGTCTGCTAATACACTTCAGATTGCTATTTGCAAAGTAAAAGGTTTTAACTGACTTTAGCAGAAATAATTAACAAAGATTGACTACATTATTATTCTCAGAACATTTCATAGATTAATGTTTTATATTCCTGATAATATTTATATTTTTAAAAAGGATATTACTTGTAATGTGTGTATAATAAAATGCCCTTTACAAAGATTCACAAATTAATTATTACTAGTTGTTCTGTAATACAGTAAATTGTCAAGTATTTATAAATATCAGAATAACTTTTATCTTTTCTGTATCCTTTCATTCTGTAACTACACTGGCCACAAAAGTTCTTAAAATACTGATTTTGTGTTTTAAAACAACAATTCCTGTCATATCTTTCTGAAACTCCTTTGGTTAAACAAAATCAAACTCTTATAGAAAATATTATAAAGCCTTAGCTGCTCAAAAGTAATTTTAAAAGAGTAAAAAAAAACAACCCATTATTGCTCTAAAAATAAAAATTATTATCTTTAATAACTTATTGTGTATATTCTTAACAAAATGCAAACACTGTTGATAGCACAAAATTTGATGAACATTTTAAGTAATGAAGTTCATTCAATTTTAAAAGAAAATTTTTTCATCCAATGTAATTTTCTTTAAGTTCTAAAGTATTTATAAAGGGTATCTTTAATATTATTTTAAATATTCATGATTCTAAAGTAAATACTAACAACATATGAATTGAGTTTGGAGACAAGAATAAAAATATAAATACTTTAAACTTGTTTCTATAGTATCATCTATAGAATTGTTCCCCAAACTTTTTTCGCCACGAAACTCTATTTAACTGAGAAAAAGCTTATGGAACACTAGACACCAGAAATAGTGTAGAGGTTATGTTGCATATGCAGTGCTCTCTATATTTGTATATTATTCATTTATCTATTTAATCAAATTACATATTAATGAGTTTTTTACATTTTTATGCTTATAATATATTTTAGGTACAAACCACTTCACTAAGATATTATGTAGAATAGATATGGAATCTTCTATAATTCTTCTTCAATGCAAAATCGATATTATCTAATTCTAATACATAAGAAAATATTTCATAATAAGTTATGATCGTACATAAAGTGTTAAATATTTTATTATAATTTAAAATCATGATTTTCTCACGAAGCCACTATCAATCTCAGATGGAACACCAGTGTTCTGCAGAACATAGTTTGAGAAACGCTGATCTATAGTATGACTTGCAAGACACAAAAAATACTTTAATTGGTTTATTCAAGTATCATGTGGCAAAATAAGTGGTTAGAACATGTAGCACAAATATCATTGTTTTGCATCAATAATTGAGGTTTAAAAGATGTATCACTTTTATTAACTAACAAAATGCTTCAAATCAATGAGCATTTTGAAAACAAAATACTACTTTAAGCCTAATATCTAGTTAAGTTGTCTCACCATTTTAAAGTATTTTCATAAGTATAAATTCAGAAAGTGGAAATAATTCCCTGACTAGACTTTCTCTAGAAAACTTGTCTCAAGAACTTAAAATTTCATCTTGTTTGATATCAAGTGTTATAATTCATAAATTTATAAAAATACGTACAAATTTGTATTCTTGGTATCAAACTCCTCAATCAATGAGACAAGCTCACTAATGAATTTTGCACAATGAAGATGATGATTAACATTGGGAGACATCATAGACAACCAAACTGGAGACAAGAGGCGAGGGCCTGTGAAAAGATCTTGCAGAGACATCTGAAGCTGCTCTACACCCTACAGAAAATGTTAAACAATTGCATTTCTTATTATGTATGAAATAAATTGCAACTTTGGTATTCATGACACATTTCTATTTCCAAACCTGATTAAAATCTTTGAATGGGAGTTTTTGCAAGCTCATAAAATATGTTTCTTTATAACTGTAACTAAGATTCACAACACATCTGAAGATATTACAATCTGATCCAACATCTTACAAAAATAAACTCTGTATAAACTTACCCAAAAATACAGGACTTTCAATTTTATAAGTAATTCATTCTTAGAGAAAAACATTCACCTCAGTACCTCAATAATGTGATTACATTTCTGCCAAATCCATGTACTTGTATCAACTTGCGAGAATGAATTTTCAGCAGAAGATTTGGGTGATCAATCAACATAATCAATTCCCTATGACATCAATTAAGTGTCATGTCACATAATCAATTAATAGAAATGACATTAAATTGATTAATGCCATGAAAATATTCAACTAATTAAAATTAATATTTCCAGTTATTAGTTTCTGATTATATCAACTAATCAAAATATTACCATTATGACTTAATGTTAATATTTTTGATTAATTCAAATTTGTTCAGCTTAATGACTCATGAAAATAATCAATTAATTGAAATTAGTGCTTTTAATCACAATTATTTTCAATTATTCCAACTACACATGCAAACAAAAATGCTACTATTATGATTTCTCAAATTATCATTATTTTTTGGTCAATTCAACTTTGTTAATTTTTTTTCTGCCATAGCCCAGCTATTAGGGGGGGATTCCATTGTGATTTGAAGGTCTCAGGTTCAGTTCCTGTTGTCACTAAACATGCTCACCTTTTCAGTTGTAACTTGAAATTGTGTCAGTCAAAAAGTCAAAATCATAATGATCATCAAATCTTTATTAAAATATTGCATGTTTTTATTCTGTCGTTAATACTAACTTCCGAACAGAGAAAGCTCTCTACTTATAGCAAAACTAAATATTAACATGGTAATGAATACACCTAATTAAACATACTTTTTTACGTTTCTACTTATAAAAATTAGAATCCATTGTTCCATCACTTGGGTAACCCTAGCTCTTAACAATATTTTCAGCTGTAAACCAATAACATCTCATGAGGTTCGACCAGCTTAGGGGATTTAAGATTAGTCCTAAATACATATATTATGCTGACAATGCAAAAGAATCTCTATAATAAGAGTATAATAACAATAAAAATAAAGATTAACAAAAATAAAACTAGATGTACTAACATTCCAACCAACAACAACAAAACAACAGACTATACCTTTCATAATGAAAACACAAACACTACCTCTTGGCTTCAAGTACTGTCATGTTCATTATTATTAAAGTGCTAATAAGCCTAAGTGAATAACTTATATGTTGCTTCTCAATATATTTGTATAAATTTCACATTTTTGGTTTCCCAAGACAGAAATTAAAGCTCTTTTAGCTTTTTCATTGATGTTTGTTTCAGTTTATTGATGGGAACTATACAAATATTCTTTTTTGAATAACAGTTTCTCAAAGTGTTGATCTCTAACAACACTGTCCAACTGCTTAATGTACAACAATCTAGATACTACTAAAAAGAGTAGTATCACTTAGCTCATTATATTTGGCAACATGTGTCTCATTTCATTCAGAGAAGTAACTCAACATGCAAGGGTGAACAGGCCTTTTTATGACCAGGGAGTGTTCTCTTGCTTATTTCAAAATTCTTGCAAATAACAAATACTTTCTTTGCAAGTGAAATTAATTATTGATCTACTCTGTGGAAAATTTCAACTGTGACATTTTTAAAACAAACTTTTAATATGCACAAGATGTTATGCAGATAGTGCAATACTCAGAAATAACATGTTTAGGGAAAGTTTGGAAAATCGGGGTTTATTTTATTTTGTGGATTGTATCAATTTATTAAAATTTGTTGCCTAAGGAAAATTAGAGCTTACTTTTTATGGATAATGTTAATGTATTAAATGTTTATAATTGTATATACAATTATACAAATCAAAAAATATAGTTCAACAATGACTACATATCAATAAAAAGTTTTGGTAATTTGATAATTATTTCATGAATTTGAATTTTGTATTAAAAAAGCATAATTGATAATTCCATAAAGAACTATTAAATGTAATTATGAAGTAAATTCAGTTAGGTGCATAAAGATCAACTACAGCTACTATTTCCCTAGTGTTTGTTTGTAGTTAAGCACAAAGCCACACAATGGGCTTTCTGTGCTGTGCCCACCACAAGTATCAAAACCTGGTTTTAGTATTGTATGTCCTCAGACATACTGCTGAGCCACTGGGGGGGCATTTCCCTAGTGTATCTTAATTGAAAGTCTATTCCAGCAACTCTGTATTAGAAACATAGACTTCAGCCCCCATCCCATAGGCTATATGGGAAGTAATAAGCTATACAAAGAAAAAACAATTCATATTTGGTAAAAATAAAATAAAAAACAGATGTGAAATTAAATAAAAAACTGAAAGTCAATTAATTCTTGATTTGACAGAATGCATGAAAACAAATTTGCTTAAACATTAATACATATCTACCCTAAGTTTTCCTTGCAATGTTAGTACAAACACACTTAATTTTTTTGGCCTAATGTGCAATAACAAATAAACATGTAACAAAAATATAGATGTGCGTAATTGGTACTTTGTTAATGCAAAATATGTTGTTGTCTCACTTTGCACTAGCCTATTGTTGTGTATAAAATAATGGCTCATTTTATACCCATGATAATCTTATTCTCATATATACCTAACAAGTGGCACATGTTTACTGTCCCTTTGCATAAAGACGACACATGTAAATTATCCATGTAATTGCCTAAATGTGGTTGTGTAAATTATATTCACCACCAAATGATTAAACCCCTCAATACATTCGTATTCAAATGAAATTTAACTCAATCTGAAGATTTAAGTGTATGTAACGTATGTTATCCTGTACCTACTGGTAATCTCACTAGTAACTATTATAATAAGTATTTCTCATATTTATAATTAGTTGCATCGTTTAAACAAAATAGTGCTCTCCTCAGGGTACTTAAAGATATTTTCAAGCAACTTTTTATATGCAATTAAAAAACTTTATTACCCAAAAAAAAACCTCAGAAATAAAATATTTAAAAAAATACTAGTTTTGGCCATACGCTAAACCACCTAAAGATGTTTATAATATTCAATGCAGGGTAGTTCAAAACTGTCTTTCAAAAAACTAAAATAAGGCTAACAACTAACCAATTAGCAAATTTCTTTAATCATCCAGCTCTAATCAGCAGTGAAATAAGACTAAGCTATACCATGTGAAAAGCAATTCACTGTCTCTGATACCTCTGTACTTTAATTGCACTGATTACTAGATAAACACACCACTTAGGCATTCAGTTATCCCCTTCTGCTTAGTAAGCAAGCAAGACACAATGGTGTAGGATTAGCAATTTCGCAACATACAGAACAACATAAAACATATTTCTAAATCTGGAACAAAAATTACCAAATTAAAGCAAGTGTAGAGAACAAAGCTCTAAATGGAAAAATCTGTCAGACTGCATAATAAGGAATTAACTCATCATACACAAGCGCAAAATTTCAAAGAACATAACTTATGAAAAAAAATTTCACCACAATTGCATGTTATATCCACATCCATAATTAAAATATTTATAGCTACAGAAACCACTATTAAATCAAACACTTGTGTAATTATTATCTCAGAAGACCAAAAAAATATCTATGGGTCTAAACTATACAAGGTCAAGAAGAAGCAAGCATTTTTTGATTAGACTAATAAAAATACATAATTTTACCTATTTATCCATATCCTTCGCTAGATGTAAGTTAGACCCATTTAGTATTTATCAACTTTAGAATCATTATGGCACATCATGATTATTATTATTTCAGTTTTATAACATGCTGAACAAACTCTTGCATAATGCTTTATAAACACACACACATCACAGAAGTAATTTTGGAAACTAAATTTTTTATCAACTAATTCATATGGTGGGTGCAACATTATTCATGCCATTACATTTTGGCCTACAGGTTGATTGTAATATGTGGCAATGTAGAATATGAAACAATACTAAAACACACAAAATTTATGATATAAAAGAAGAACACTTTACAAACAGCAATAAACACTATAAACATATAGACAAAGGATAGAATTATCTCTACAATACCACATGATTTGAAAGATAGAAAAAACAGATGATTGATTAGTAGGACCTGAATAGACCTTTACTTAGATAAAAGTTTACAACAAATTTGACAATGAAAGAAAAGGATCAATGCGATAATGCCACAAAACTTCATAATGAAACAGCTGACTGTGTAACCAGTATAAGGAATTTTAAAGAGTGTAACAATTCTAAGTAAAGTCAGCACGAATAGTAAGAATAAGTACAGATACAGGGAAGAATTCTCTCTTTCAATGCCACAATTCTAAGTAGAGTCTACAAGAATGGTAAGGATAAGTAAAGTTATCTATGATATATGTAATATAATAATACATGGTTTGACAGGTAACATATTGGTCAGCAAAGTCTCTTCATTTACAATGTAAGAAAATTACCTCTAGGTTAATTTAAATAGCTTTCTCTGCACAACAATCGCTCGAATGAAAAAAACATGCAAACAAATCTTAGGAAAAGTGCTTTTCAATTATTATGTCTGACATGAAAGGAGTATCTTGCTAAACATCTTCAATTTTAAATCGATTCCTGCAACAACAGCTCAAAACTAAAAATAATACAGTAAAAATATATATATATATATATATATATATATATAGACTTTTATCTGTAATGAGAATATTCAAATTAAGGAATTAATTACAAATACAGAATCACTGAAATGTATAACAGATATTATTGGTGAAGTCATATTTCGGTGCCGATAGTAGACTTTTACCTATTTAGTTGACAAATGAGGTGCTATTCAGTGCCGTGAGTACTTGCTACTGTTTACAGTATGTTATTTTTGTAATGTTTAAATCTTTGAACAGACTCAAAATATCAAACGCTAGTCATAAAATTAATTTTACATCAAGAGAAGTATTATTATTTTTTTTAAATATAAGGTTTTTTGAGTATTTGTTCCTAATTACCAAAAACTACTGGAATGAACACAAGTGACATTAAGACAATCATTGCCTATCAATACCTTGTATATGGCATTTACAAAATTCTTGCGGTTTAAGTAACTTTCCAGCACAGTATCTTTCAGTCGGTGTATGTGACCTTCTATCAGTGCAATGTGAGAGAAAAAGAAACTGTGAAATCTCCTAGAAATAAAGAAAATTTCCATTTTTATTTACATAACTTATTGAAGATCAATAAATAAAATGTATGGTTAATATTAGTCCTATTTTACTTTACAATATCATCCAGAATATTTTAGTACATAAAAATTTTCAAACAAACAATTTTTTATGTCATTATTCCTAAAAATCACAAAGGATTTTCAAAGGTTTCATTTAGATTTTTCTTGAAAAATTCACGTATGCTATTTATTATTGATTTCCAAGCTAACATTAAACTTGATAATGGAAGTGTTTTTTTAAAGCAAGTCATTAACATTCTTAAATTCTTTAACTGGCATTCTTATTAAGGTAAACTTCTAGTAACTATCATTAAAAGATTGTTACCTATGATAAATCTCAACTTATTCTCTTCCTATTTATTTATTTTATCTTTTGAAAACTTCCCTCGAAAAGTAAGAAAGTTTGATGAAAAATAGATGAACTTTATAACGAAACTGTTACAATTTCTTTATTCCACATAAATGGTAAAAAATCTTACTAATTTAAAATGATTTAAATGCTTTTGAATATGAATGGTATGCAGATTTACCAATAGAATAAAAAGTTTTATGATTAGAAAACAAAAACTAAAGTTGTTATGCTTAAACAGTTTTTCAAAAACGATCATCTCCTAATTTCCCAATTACAGATAATACACAAACTTATAAGTTACACAATTTAAAACAATATAAATTCCTTTCTGGGTCAAGCCGTCTTCTATTACATTAATTACAAGAAAATATGTTGAAAATTCAATATAACTGTTTTATAATAACAGCCTAACAACCACAATCTTTTATAGTAGTAAGATACATATTTTTGAGCTCAATATTGATTAAATGCACCTAGAATTATGGTTACTCATACAAAAATATCTCTCTCTGAGTGCATCAAAATAACTGAAAATATTTGGTGAAATGTTTTCCTATTTCTTGATCAATTACATCAAATTCAACTACACTTTAAAGTTATAGTTTCAGTCGCACTTAAGCTTTAATACTGATATGTATCATATCACAACTATATAAATAATAGGACTAGACATAGGACTATAGGGCTGTACAAAAAAAAATAGTTCCTCCAACTTAGGAAAAAATACAACTTCTTTGAAATTCTAGTAGAAATATGTATAACTTTATTGACAAAGGCCAAAATGATTGTACAATTTCAATCAATATACTGACTGTAAGATTGAAATATTTTATATGACAAATATCTAAACATTTCGAATTTTAGTAGGTTTATACAAATATAAAATAATTATAAAACCACAGAATTTCCATGAAAAGTTCTTTAAAAATTTCAAGAAACTATCACAAATATTTCTGAATGACAGGAAGTGTACACTTGCTACAAATAGCTGCCAGTCTTAATCTTTACATTTATTAATCAAACATTAATTATATAATTAGAAAGTGCAATTAAATAGCTCTTTTCCCAAAACATAAAGTTTTAACACCCTTAAATCTTGCTGCTGTCAAACATTTGCCACATACAAAGATGAATTGAAAGTTAAAATAAACTAAGGTTTATGGATCTTTTTAAATTTCATAACTTTAAATAAAAAAGTTGTTTCTTGGAATGTTTATACAAATATCTAAGAAACTTAAATCCCACTAGGAAATAATGATTTACCTCTATTAAATTTATATTTACAGAACAGTTTCAATAAAATATCATCATCATATTAACGTTTATAATGCTTTTTCCTTTATATTTACTTACACCCTTGCAAAAATTAAGCTATACAAACAACAGAAGTCATGAACTCTGCAGATTTGAACAAAACAGAACAAATTCTTCTCCAAGGAAAAATATATTTTTTTCAAAGCTTTAAGAAACAATTCAGAATCAATAGCTCTTTCTTGTGTAATGATCCTTAATAATTTACATATAGTTGTATCTAAGTACACCACCCAAACTTGCATGTATAATGTATTTGTCATAATCACAAACTCCCTTAAAAGAAAAGTTGCACCTAATTTCAAAAAAAAATAAAATAAAATCACCTTTCTTCTTCCTCACTTTCCTCTTCTAGGGATATAATCAAACTCAGACCTAATCTTGTTCTTGACTGTTCTGAAGATTTCTTTAGCTGTAAAAGTAAATGTTTAGACATATTACAACCACAAATACATTTTTATTTGTCCCAAAATAAAATATAATTAGCATTAATCAACTTTGCAAAGTTACACTGATCTATCACAAAGAAAAAAAACAGGCAGCAAATGGTTTTAATTTTTACTGAAATTATCTTTTGCAATGTATTAGTTATGTTGCTCTATTTAGATTCAGAATTAATGCACATTACAAATATACTGAAAAGACATTATACTAACCCACCTGGCCTTCATTCCTAAACTTAGTCTACCCAACTTCTTAAAGTTGTCCATCTCTTGTAAATGTAACACTAACTCATAAATGAAATAATCAATTTCATGTTTGTAATTCATCTTTTTAACCAATGTTCCACTTCTTGTAAAAAGATATTCAAGTTTCTTCAAAAATAACCCACGGTGTTTGTTTCCATTTAGTGTCTACTTAAATTTTCTATTGCAGTTTTACAATAATGCAAAGTATAAAATACTTAAGTTAACTAAATAGCTTTTCTCATAACTGACTGATAAATATTTATTACTAAAAAAAAAAGTCCCTTTTATGTTAAAAAAATGTAATATTCAGTTCATTAAAAAAATCAGGACCTCTGAGGACTAATTATACATATTTAATATATTGCCCAATTAAAACAGACTCAACTACTGATAAAGGTTAAGATTTCTTTGGAAATCATAGTAATCACTTACCACACTAAAGTTTTCTCAATTAACTTTAAGTTATGCAAGTCTGGTCTGTTTTGTAATCTTTATTAAAAATCAAACTTTTTTGTGTACAAGACACCCTAACTTGCTTTGCTCATCAATTCAGTTTTTTTAAAAATAAAACATAATGTCCATTTCTAAATCACGTTTATTGATCTTTCTTAACAAAACATCTCTGAATTCTGATTGCTTTCATTGAAGGAACTCGTTAAAGTGCCACACATAATTGTTCATGTCTGAATACACTTCGTTGTTGATAACAATTGTGTTTTTATCTGTATGCTCTTGTTTACAAATGATAAAGCACCACAATGATTACACTTGTCAGTCATGCCTGTCATGAAAAAATATGAATACATACAATTCTAGCGACACTCCTAGTGTTGTGTTAATATGAGCAGAGAGGAAATGATAGGAAAAGCTTGAAATCTAGCAGCGACAACAATTGGTCGGCTTTGTTTGAGTTTGTGTGAGCACCATTCAGCCTCAACTCATCCCAGGGTGTGTTAAGGGCCTCAACTCGTCCCAAGGTGTGTTAAGGGCAAAAGCACGAAGAATGGAGAAATGCTTTTAATAATATAATTGAATTACTATTCTACATTACTTTATATGCCCTAAACTTTACCTCTTCATTTTGAGCTGAATCTTCTGAGAGACGTTGTCGTTGTAGCCATACCTCCATACTAGTGGCCATATTTCGAAGCCAGCGTCGTTGGAGACTACTGAAACTACCAGAATGAGACAGACTAGAACTGGCAGTGTCAGGAAAACTACATAGGCTAGTGCTGCTACTGGAATGTAGAGAGTCTGCAAACAATATTATTATTTATACATTCTTAGGGAAAAAAACTTGCATATAAAATTACCATATTAAAAAACAGGACTAGAAATTACAGAAACTGTATGGTGATTTCTATTTTGTTACTTGGGAATCCAACAGATCCATTTAGAGTCTGGCAAAATCCATAACATTTATGTAAATGTTGGTGTGTGTATATACATGTTCTTTCAATATATGAATTATCAATGCCAGGAAGAAATGAGGTTTCAAAATAAACAAAAAAAAAATACCAAAATGCTACTCTTAATTTTATGTATATCATAATGTTGTTCATTATTTATATATAATATTTTAAATAACTAAAAGTAAATTCATCTACTGCTTTACAAAATAGTAACTACGTAAGCAACAATATAATTTATAAAACACTTTTTAAAATGCCACTGACTTCTTACTTCAAGTTCAGAAGCTGAGCACGTTCCCTCTGTGCAAGCTAAACTTAACCAGAATATTCAACTAAAGTGACAGAAAGTACAGACTTCTTCAAAAACCTACTTTGGCAGAACTGATATTGTTGCAAATCCTTGTTTACTGGAGATAGGTCATATGTTTATATATCTCATTCCTATTAAAAATATAATGTCAACAGCTGGACCTATGATTTTTAAATTCGTTTTTCTTTCAAATATCACTGCACTTACCTCTATAGCTTTGATGCCATTTTTAAACCCTGTTAACCCCCTTTTGTGCATGTTACAAGGTTATATTCAAAATTTAATTAAACCACTTTACTATAAATGTATTTTAATGAAATTATTACCATCAGGTATGTTACAACTCAAAGTTTTATTTTATCTAAGTTTTTTTTTCCTTTATTTTAAAAAGAAACATATAAAACAACAAATTAAAATTGCTGTTTTTGCTGTCATGTGATACACTCAAGGTTACAATTTCTCAACTTTAAAAAACTGGTAGAGAAGGACCTGTGTTTGGAATGCAGACATTTACTGTAGATGGCCAAAGTACACAAACAGATGTCTTACATTAGTTTCTCAAAGTCTTTAGAAGACATTCTCCCCCAAAATTTAATCATTGTAAAAGTGACAGCTATGTTGCTATGCGACAGTTTGAAGTTAAGTTGACTAGCATGCTTATAACCAACAGAAAGAGCAGACTTCCCTCTTGAATCTCAGTAATGTGTAACAGTAAGTTGTAAGTGTATCTGTATAACTTCGTTTTGAAATGGAATGAAATCAAGCCAAGTCCATTGTTCTCTCGAGGTGTATGTAGCACTTGGAAAATGTTTTTTACTTTATACATATTAATTTGATAGACAGATTGCGTTTATGTTTTACATTTATATTTTAATTAATTATGTATTATTTGTGTTTTAAAATGGATATTTGAAAGATGTGATGATTTTTATATGTTTAACTTGTTGCAGCTAATGTAAATAGATAGTCATCATAGGGTTAAATATGCAAGAGCTATTCGTGTAATTCTAAAAATCTGACAATATACAGATGTATTTTGATGAAAACATCTGAGTCTCTTTTTTTTTTTTCAAATAATATGGACGGTATGTGTCAGTGACTTTCTAGTTTAAATGCATATAACACGAGAAGGATGGAAATCTATCATACATGCATCTTTTAAACCTGAAACATGTTTAAGTGAGAATGTTTGAGCCACGATCAACAAATATAAATTTGACAAAGTACTTGATGTGTTACGTAGAATATTTCATAAAATTCGCAAAGATACTTAATAATTTCTGTTAAAAACACACAGCTATTGAATTTGGACAGCAAATCTATATGGAATAGTTAGGATTGATAGACAGATCTATCAATTCAAGTTGTGCTTAGATTCAGTGACTAAAACAAAAAATATTCAACTTTCACATTACCTCTCTCCCTTTCTGACAACCAAAAATACACATCATAGTTCTAAATCCACATGTTCATCTTTAGTGCTTATCATTAACTTGTTTGTGCATGAAACTACACAATTACTTTCTAAGCTAACACAATTTAAAACTTTTTGAGTTTAATAAAAATACAAAAAAACTTACTGATCACCCACTAAATGATCACAGCTGGAAATATTTTACTAGTTTACAAAATAACCCAAGATTTAAGAAATTCATCATTTTCTAATATAAAAACAAAAGATTTGAAAATGTTTACTTCTGAAAATAATTAGAAGTAAAATGAAATACCAGAGGGTGGATAACTGCTGTTGTTCCCCTGTTTGAAAATGGAGGTGTGACCCGGAACATCAACTGGTACACTGTGAGCTGAAAATGTACAATTTATTTGTAATTTGTCAAACAAGTATTATCTAATTTGCTGTTGTTCATCTGAATATTTAACTATACAAATTTACATAAAACCTGTGTTTGGCTAGATCTTAAAAAAAAAGTGTAAGAATGTTCAGGTAGTGCTTATGTGAAGGTGAAAAAGAATTAAGCACTATTTCATATTTTATGCTGCTTCCTTTTCAACAACAACAAAGAAATATATATATATGTATACACACACACATTATCACCTGCTTACATAACTATCAAAAACTGACATGTTAGAGGTTTGTAAAAAACAAATGGGAGCCACTGACAGTCCTTTAGCGAGTTTTGTTCATCAAACTTCTCCCGTAACTATTTCAGCAAGGGCTCAGTCTCTGGGACCGACCTCATAACCATCTTGTGCTTGTTATAGTTTTCATGTTATAACTTTTAAGTTAGTAAGCATATATTAACAAAATTTGACAGATTACCAGTAAACATTACAATGCTTTCATATGTAAAATATAATTTTTTTTTATTATATCTTAAGGTTTGTAAAGCAATGTTTTCTCGTTCCTTTTATTTCTTTTCGTATGTTGACTATCCAACATGCAAATTAATTTTCATTTTAAGATTAAAAATACTTTTATGCATCAGAAAAATTTCAAATTTCTCATGCGAAATCTTTATAATGTCCAGATATTTCTCAAATGTTTCTTTAAAAAACTTTATATTTTATCTGTTATTTTCAGTAACAAATCTCTGTACGGGTTCGGTAGATTTGACCAATCTTGCAACCACCATAAAAAATTAGGAAATAAACATAACTTATGCTTCTTTCATTCTAGAATGAACACAAATTATAACACGAACACATAAATGTTTAGACTAAATAGCTTCTATCCTCAT